ATTGTGTTGCAAAGATTGATGCTGAAAGTTGCTTGAGCTAAAAAGGAGCCAAGAGTGGGTTGGCCAGTTGCTTCGTTCGATTCTGCCAACATATCGATTTGTTCTTGAGCCCAGGTGCGAGGAAGGTTGCAGCCTGACTGAATCGCGTTGGCTCTGCAAGGGCAGGCTGCTCGTCCTTTAGCGCCATCCCGATGAGTGTAAAGATTGTAGTGTGTGCAAAGGCCACGCGTGAATGTGGCCTTGCACCACCTACACTGAAACAATCAAGGATCATCTCCTACCTAAAATCCAGAAATAGAGAAACATATTTAGGTAAATCTTGTTGATGAGGATGGTGGAAGAAAATAAGCTTACCTCCCCTTTGATATGAGTTGGAGGGTAATAATACTCTAAAAGCTTTGAGACCCGTCCTAGTTGGGCACGGCGGACTCCAGCGCTTTCAACAATCTCTATGTCCGAGTCTTGATCAACATCAATGCAAGCTGGGACGCCAGTCTACACAGAAGAGAGAGAGAAAACAAAAGACTTAGAAAAAAGATTGATAGGAATGAATAACTTACAAGAGCCGGAGCGGTTGCTTTCTGTTGTTTCTTTGCAGGCCCTCGAGGTAAAGCGGATGAAGCACCAGATCCTCTCGGACGGCCTTTGGCACCCCAACGAGGAGACTTGGCTTTGGGTCGTTGAACCTTCCCAGTACCATTCTTCTTCTTCTTAGGTAGCATCGAAGACAGGATTTCAGTGGCATCGGTGATTTCCACAACAGAAACAGATTCCTCATCGGATTCGACTTGATCTGGATTTGGATGAAAGGGGGTATGAGTTGAATCAAACTTGATATCACTCGACGGACGACAAACAGCGACTCGTGAGTCCGGAGATTGTATCACGAAGCCTGGTCTAGGACCAGTAGGACTTCTTGGATGCAGATTAGGACGGGTACTAGTAGGAGAATCAGGAGGTTCAAGGGTAGAGTTTGACTTCGACATGGTATCTAAGCTATCAAGATTCAAACTAGATGATCAAACGACAAAAAATTTAGATAGATTCAAGATAGTCAGACGATTGCAAGTTTTTTTAAGAAAACGATTTGTGAAGCAAGTCAAACTGGGGAACAACAGATTCATCAAGAGGACTCACCTTATGTAGAAGTCAGAAATCATAAAACAGGGTCCAGGCATCTTGCTTCTCCGTCCATCCACAGACAATCGGAAGACAATTAGGGGGCAAACTCAATAAAGACGATACGATTCAATAAAGACAATACAATCCAAACAAGGTGCAATCAATACCTAACTTTGAAATGACAGAAATGTAAGATATCAAAAGAAATGACATACCACTGTGATGCTCTGTGATGTTTCCCTTCTTGTTGATATGATAAATCGGCTAATTAGACTTTGGATAAGAAGAAGTATCGTAAAGAATTGGCCTGTCTATCAAATTGAAATAGGTAGAGTATTGATTGAGGGTCTTTGAAGAGGCTGTAGGCAGGATCGAGGGTGTTCCGGGTGTTCCTTTGGAAATCAGATGACTTGACTCAATGGCTATTGAGGGTTGATAGTGTGTTTTACTAGCTTTGGTTAGTCTCAAAACGGGACCAAATTCTATTAGGGTTGCTCCCGCTACATACCGCTCTGAGAGGCGGCTGTGGGGCCTCCTTTTGACTTGCCTTGCCAAGTCCGGGTCCCGCTACATACCAAATTTTTTGGCCGCGGCGGTGACAGGACGCTTGGGCCCTCTGCACAAAAAATCGTGTAGCAGCAACGGGGCGGGTCGCCCCGTCACCGCTCCGCCACCGCTTTTTGCGGCGGGTTGTCTCATGCGTTGGCGGAGTTGAACGTGCTTTGGTATTGATGGGCATCGATGCAGATTGCGTTGGACAAGTGGAGGCCAGATTGTTGAGTGAAAATGGAAATGTGGTGTGGTGTGAGTTGAGTTGAGGGTTGCGTTTTCAGTGGTTTTTGAGGACATGGAGTTAGTTACCACGTTGGTAGGCTGGGATAACTTTGTCCCAGCCTACCAAATTTTTGTTGCCAAGCTAACTAAGAATTGGTCAAAATTTCACCATTGTGGAAATTTCAAAATCAGTGAGTTAAATACTTAGCTATTCCGGCGACTTAATGCGACGGTTGCAGATGCTCTAAGCATGGAGACGTGTATAAGGCATTGATTAAGCTCTGGTTCAAGAAATCTATACAATACCGTGCTTATTGTTTTCATTGTTTTTGTTGGTCTTATGTTTGATCTTATGTTGTTGCTAAATTTTTGATACTAGCAACTTAGCGGCGGGCGCCGCTTTAGCGGCTGACGCCGCCATGTCACATATAACCCAAACACATCAAAATTTTGAAAGCATGGCAAAAGCCCACCTTAACTAAGTCCCTCAATGCTGATACAGCTGTCAATCAATCTGCTGCCAACCCTCTTTTGCTTTTTGTGGCGGGATCCTTCAGGTATTGCTGGCGCAAACAAATTGTGTCAGGTTGAGGTTGTCAAGTGTGTTGCCCGCTGCTGGAGTGTTAGTACATCAATTCCGCACAATTACCTAATTTGGGTGGACAAATTTTGCTATGCATTTTGACGGGTTATGCAATTCTGTTATCAAATTTGACAGTAAAAAGTATCAAGATTCAGCATTTTTTCTATGCATTACCACGGGTTACACAGGGGTACACAGCTGTATGGGTATGCATTTGCACGGGTTTGGATGACACTCTTCAAAAGCATTCCTTTTGAGCAAATCAAAGATAACAGGAATCTGATGAACTTTTTTCAAAATCTTGAGCTGAGCATTTACTCTGGATAGCTTCTTCTAATTACAAGATTATCAAGCCTTCAATGATGATGTTCATTCCAACAACTTATTTTCAAATTGGGCCAGTAGAGTCAAACTCAAAGAATTAAATGTATATGAGTTGCCCTGTGACATGAGTAGTGTTCTTTGAAATCAATCCTTTTTTGTCAAACTCATCTTCAATTTTCATAGGTAGAACTGAATCTTTGTAAACATTACATAATACTTAATGAACTTTTGTTCAAGTGTATTTTTGTTTAGAGACTGACCAACAGATGAGTAAAGAGAGTGTAGTGGCTCAAAGGTTGAGGTAACATATGAAGTAAGTACCTTGAACACACCAGAATTTGGCTTCCAGACCAAACCAAAATTGTTGACCAGATTTCCGTTTGGGTACGTTGAGTTGATTTCCGTCATCTTTGAAAGAAGAACAAACAGATCTCAGCTTTAGACTTATACATTCATTTTCTTAGCCTTGAAGGGCTTTGTGTATGTTTTATCTAGACTCTCTTCACCTAATCATTGACTATTAGTGCAAATCTTGCAATAAGTTGCAATATGATCTCAGCAAAGAGATATGAAAAATTGGCATAATTAGCCAGAGGCTCCAAGAAAATCAAAGAGTTCTTCATTAGGATCCCAAAACTCATGTTCTTGATTTGAATGACAGTCATTGAGCAAGTTCAATGAGCTTTGTACCTGAGTTTGATTGTGATGATGGTTTAAAGAGGTTGTTCTTCTTCCTGTTGCTGTGGGTCTGAGAGGTAATGATATAGTCAAAGTCTCAGACTTGAAGAAAAAACAAAAGATGATCAGTTCATAACTGAGTATCAGATGGGCAATGTTTGGGATCACAAACAAAGCTGATCTGTTCAAGATTGCTTGGTCTGATGGTAGCCTTCCTGGTCTTTTAGTTTTATCTAGCTCCTTTAGAGAATATCGGCTGAAATTAGCCATTGAAAAAAGAAAAATGGATATTGAAAACTCAATATCATAAGCAGCAGAATAAGTGCGATTCTGATAAAGAAATTATGCTGGTGATAGTGAAGCATGAAGATGTATGGAAGAACTTCAATTGCTACAAAAGAAAAGGAAGTCAAACTCAAACTCAAACTCAGAGCCGGATAAATGGGTCAAGATTAACAGTCAGCCCATATCAAAGCGTCTCCTCCACTTGTTTGCAGATTGAATAGTCTCATGATGATGATCATATTTGTACCAGAAATGAACCAAATTAAAGAAACCATCAGTGGTTATTGGACAAACACATTTATTGGAAACAACAGATACTCGATGTAAGCTTTTTGTGAGTTGATCAAGGTGAGGAGTTGAAGACAAAGAGTGACTGTCTTCTGTAGCATGTGATGTCTGTGAACTACAAAAGACTTTTAAGAGTTGATTGAATCCTAGGGTTGAAATGTTGAGACTTAGTCAATAAATCATGAAATAATCAATAAATCGTGAAATCCAATAGTTACTAATTTCATTATTGTTATTATGATCAAGTGATCTGATATCAAATGTGTTATATTTTTTTATATACTCAAAATAAAGTTGAGCTCATAAGTTGATTCTCCTAAGTACTTTGTTTATATCTTGTTAAAACTCATCTGTTTCCACTATCAATCAACCAATCTAGTGAACCATTTGAAAAATGATTGATAGGATCAAAAGCAATGTCAGCTATGGTGTTTTCAATGAATTTTAAGCAATATTTTCATGACCATAGATCAAAGAAACCAACTCTGATCAAGGCTAGTTTAAGATTACTGTGAGATCCTAAATCTTCATCTTTCTTTGAATCCTGGCGTGCAAGCTATTGATATCAATGATGCCCAAAAATAATAATCAATTCAAGAGTTGAGTTTTTCTTGATCAATTGATTTTCAATTTGAGTACAAATAGATCCCCTGCAGTCTTCAAACGGACTGTGACCGCCATTGACAGCACCACCCTCTTCCACAATGTATTGGATTCAACCTTTATGTTCTTCAGAGAGCAGACCACCAATTGATCTGATACTTACCACATCATGTGTGTACCACAATGTAGAGGCAGAAAATCTAAAGAAATAGACCAAAAGGTCTCCAACGTTTTCTAGATTGGCACCAGTCTAATAGCAAGGTTCGGCATCAAGACTATCAAAGAAAAAAACATAATGTCCATCATGTATCAGTTCTTTGGGGTGATGGCAATTGCTGAAGATTTACATTTTGAAAGCAGCATGGAAGTAAGAATACAGGGTGTTCCAAGGGAACATATGTGTAGATATGAGGACGTACGGTGATACACCATCCTTGAGACCATTGACAAAGTAATAAATTACTAATAGTACATAGCCATACAAACTGATTGTATCAATATAAGGATTGTTGCTCTTTTTTCTCCAAATTTTCACTAAGAGGGAATGAAGAATCAGTGTTTAAGACAACAATATCTCAAATGGGCCAAATTACGTACAAATCAAGATAATAGTTCTCATCCATGGCTCAACCATAGCGTCAGTGAGTCGCAAACAAGTTTTCAAGCGCCAATCGGCCCTCAAAACCAATATCACATGATAATCCAAAGGGTTGGCCAGCCGAAGGAGGTAATGATAGTTTGATGATTGGGATTTGTGTTTTAGGTAGTCTGAAACCGGAGTTTGAGATATCAAAAATGAGTTCAGTTTTTTAAAGTGTGGATTGCACAGATGATGAGAAATTAGTTTTACCTTCTTGAATCAGTTTACCAAGGATGAGGACCGTTTCTGCAGGAGTTTGCTCAACAGGCTTTGTAATGTGTTTTGGTTCTTGAGGGTCAGAGTGAGTAGACTGCTCTTCAGCATTTTGTGCTAGTCATGGGGAGGTGGATTGCTGATAGGTTTAGATAAATGTTTACTTTGTTGATAAATCCCATCAACTGTAAATCAACCCAAAAAGTCAAAGAAAATCCATCAATTGCTCATTGGATAAAATAGACACAAAAAGGAAGCAAAGATAACAAACTTTGATTATAAACACAACCACATTATATCTTAGCTTTATTGTAATCAGCAGGCGATTCAACTTTTAATAGGATTGGGTCTTTGAATTAAGCTTTACATAAATTTTCATGTTGTTGTGCGTATGACCAAAAATGTAATGAATCTTCTGCACTTTCTGTTTGTGAGTAAATATAAAACCACAAATGTTAAAAGTTTAGTTTCAGTTTTCAATTATTCAATTTAATTGAATGTGATTTGTTTGATTCGAGTTCAATTTGTTTTGTTTGTGATCTTGAAGACAAATGAAGATAATTTGATCAGGTTCAAGTTTTCAATTTGAAGAGATCATAGGTTCAGAAAGATTCAGTTGAGGTGAATTCAATTCAATCGGTGGTTGATGATGATGTTGAACTCTCCAAGCTTCAACCCTAGGAGTATCTCAAAAGACCTTCAACACTCCAATCCACTGTTTTCACTTCTCCCAATGGCTGTGCTGCCATCAAGATCTTCCCTTCAGGTGTTCCAATTGAATTAGGATTAGGTGAAGGTTTAGCCGAATGATATGGATCTACAAACCACAATTTTCTTGCCATCTTACTATGATTATAAACCAAAAAGTTTTCTTCCATCACTCTAACATCGGCTGATAGATTATCTATTTGTATTGAAATGCGGATTTTGTTTCTTCTCTTTCAATGGATTATCTTCTAATAAAAGTTATTCAAGTTCATGTGTTGCATCAAAGTTTGCTATTTAGGATCAGGTTCAAAAGGTGGAGTTGCTTGAAGTGAATTAATCCCATCCCAATCTAATCCTCTAAACCAATTGTGTGATTTAAACTTTTCGATACCTCCATCTCTTACATCCTAATCATTGATAAATATCTCTTACCAAAACCTTTTTAAAGAAATTCAACGCTTCAGGTCCAATCACTTGAGGTAAAGTTTCTGGAAATCTGGATTCTTCTCTTGAAATTGCAGTGGTCAAGGTTGAATTGGTTTTAACTCTGAACGGACGTTTACCAAACACAAGTTCAAAGGTCACCACTCCAAGTGACCACCAATCTATGGTAGAGGTATAACCACGTTTACCTAAGATTTCAGGTGCCATGAATGCCATTGAACCGGCTGCTGAGGTCAGTGGACGTCATTCAGATAAATGGACAGAAGGTTGAATTGGTTTTAACTCTGAACGGACGTTTACCAAACACAAGTTCAAAGGTCACCACTCCAAGTGACCACCAATCTATGGTAGAGGTATAACCACGTTTACCTAAGATTTCAGGTGCCATGAATGCCATTGAACCGGCTGCTGAGGTCAGTGGACGTCATTCAGATAAATGGACAGCGATATTGAAATCAGTTTAAGTTAGATGTGCATGACCCCGTTTGTCAAGAAGAATGTTATTGAGTTTAAGATCACGATGTACGATCCCCTTCAAATGTAAATAACCAAGAGCAAGTACCATTTCACAAACATAAAACTTGACCACCTCTTCTTTCAAAAACCCAGCACGATCTAAATTCAATTTGAATCGCCACCTAGCATAAGATCCGAGACCAAGATTATCATCATCTTGAAATGCATAAGCTAGATTACAAACAAAAGGTGGATGAATCTCTTCTAACAATCTACGTTCTTGGATGATATCAGGAACCGCTTGTTGTGAAACGATTCATTATTTGTTTATATATACTAAGCCATATAATGCTTTGGTTTGTTCATGTTGAACAACTTGAACTTCTCCAAATGCACCTTTTCCAACCGACCTCAAAAGGTAAAAATGCCAAAGATCCACCGGACCACCAAAATTGATTTCCTCCGGTTTAGAACAAAATGCACCCATTTCATCTGTTGATTCAATTTAAGTTTGATAAGACTTGAACTTGATCGAGATGACCAGGCGGGTTTGAGCCCAAAAGTGACGAATTAATTGACTTGAGAGATCCACTTGAATGAATAAACAACAATTGGCAATTTGTAAATTCCGAGATCATTGAGAGATTGAGGATGTTCGATTTTGAAAGTAAAAGGTGTTATGGCCTGAGGTAAAGGGATGTCAAGTTGAGAAGGTCTAGATTCAAGAGTAGATAAAGTTGAGATCTTTTAACCAAGTTTTGGGTCCGAGGTAATCGTACGTGGTGCTTGTCAGGCAGAAGAAAAATTACAAAGGCAATGTTTGAGGTAAAAGAAATGGTATATTTTTATTATAAGTCTTAATTCCAAAGGCAAGTGGCATGATCCGTGATAATTGGGATCGCAGTGATAGATACCAGAAAAGAAAAATCACTAACCTGGGTATGTCATCCTTTTGCACTTTTTTTCGCCTCTTCTGGAACTGGCTCCAATTGAATCAGAGTCAAGATCGTAGAAAAGATGTGTATGTGCGTGCTTTGACTTGATGATTCCTGATGATGATATGTACTTTTTGAATGATCATGGTATGTCAACATAGCACAGAGAATCTTGATCCCCGTGACAGTGGTAGGATGAACTTTTATCATCAATCAAAAGACACCAAAGCTCACAAGAGTCTGTGGTTTGGGAGACAGAGAGATGTACGCGGGATTGGGATTAGCAAAGATGATGGAGAATGCAGATTAATTTGCAGTGAAAGAGTTTCTGACCATCGACAAAACTCAAAAATCGCGCTAATGGTGGATTTTGTTGAGTTTTGTAAGCGAAGTGGCTTTGGGATTAAATGTTATGAATGATAGGTGGTGTGATATTGGTCTCACAAATTGACTTCAGATTCTGAGCTGAATTAGTCAAGTTTGGCCTTGAGATTGGGAATGGAGCTCAGGTTGAGCTTCCTAAGAAAGAAGAAGCAAAATGATGAGTTTACATATTGGATTTTCATCTTGAACATAATGTTGTTCATCTTCTGGGATTCAATACAAATATATTACACCACCTAAAGAAGTGATTTTAGTGTTTTCAAGAGATTTTTTTGTGCAGACAAAGAAGAATGAAATGAATATGTAGGTAAGGTGAACTGCTTTGATACCCAAATGAAGTTTAGGATTAGCCTTTGTGATTAGAAAATGAGAATTCAATGTCGAGTTTAGAGAAGAAAAAAAGGTTTACTTGCCTGGAGTTGGTGTTGATGTATCCAATTTATCAGAGACTGCTTCTGGTTTACAAATTCTAGGAGGTGAGCTGAGATGATTAAGTGAAGAATGTGTCAGTTAACTGGTGGGTTGACATGATGAGTTTGATGATCATGATGAATTGAGAGATGAAGTAGGCAAACCATCGATCTCTTTTGAATGCTATTGAGTATATTGTCAGAGTTGGAGCATATGATTGAGATGGTTTGGCTTTAACTGAGATTGATTCTTGACCATCGAGTTCTTCAGATTCAGTCTTTGTTTCTTCTTCTCAGTGACGTTCTTCTCAATGACATTTTTCTTGTTGAATTTCATTTTCTACTCCTTATTCTCGACTCGTCTTTTCTTTTGATTGAAGTCTTGACTGTTATCTCCGTTTGATTGGTATTGAAGTCGATCTAGTTGATTTGCTTCTTGACTGTAAGATATTGACCAGTATCATTGATTGGATGGTGTTAGGTTGGCAGTGATGGTAGATTTAATACTTTGGTCCCTTCTGAACTTTGATCGATGTGAATCAAATCCAACTGTACTTCCCAATCGATGATGATTTGCCGATTTTGATGATCTCGATATTCAATTATGAAAGAATTGGAATCCTTGATTGCAAAAAATTGATATAACATTAAAAGGCAAATCTACTTTGTCAATTGAAGCAAGGAATCCGGGTTTTATGATGATGCTTCAATAAATTGAACAAAACACAATCATTTGAAGATAAAAGTGATTATGAGACGCTGAAAAAAGTCTTCCACCACATTTGTCTCCTTGGGCATAACCTGTACATTGATATCCTATCCCATGTGACTGATCTCCACAACCACTACTATGATCATCTTGATGTTTGTGACCTGATCCATCTTCATTATGTCTCGATCTGCCTCGATTCCCTTGGCCATCATTTAAAAATTGATCTTCTGAATCGATTTCTAATTTAAAAATAAACCAATTGACTTCTTTTAGAAAAAAAGTATCATAGCATCAGAAATGAACTCCATACCCAATTATATTTTTCAAGAGAATCAAAAAAAGGGAAACAAATATTAAAGAAAGTTGATAAATCAAAAAAACTAACCTGTTTGAAGCTTTCTGAAACAGTTTTAGCCAACTTTGCTTTTTTCCTTTCAAATTGGTTTTCTTTTTCATTTCCAAAACAAAATCCTTTTAAAGATCCAATTATAAGTTCAATACTCAAATCAAGTACATCACCAAATCGAATAAAGTTTGTCAAAATTAAATTCAAATGTTCAAATTCAATTATACCACTACGTATTGATTTTGTAAAAGTCATGATTAATAATTCAAATTCTTCTTGGTAAATTCAATTTTGATGTGATGATTGATTAATGTTTTAGAGAAATTGATTGAGTTTTTTTAAAGTTGTTCTTGGTGGTGAGTTTCAGTCTTGATCATTTATTGATTCTTGAGTTAATGATTGGTCATCAGATTCAGGTCAAGGCCATGAAGAGAGGAGGTGGGGTCGGGGACAGCTGAGCCTAAAGGGGCCGGAGTCTTAGGTGTACAGCTTGTTAAGGGCTTAGGGGTTTAATCCAGTTTTGCCGAGAAACTGGGTTGTGCCTTTAGTGTTATGATGTTCATGTTAGATTGATCATCCTTGTTACATTTACATAAGTATCATACATTACTCTCAACTGCAGCACTCAAGGCTCTGATTGCGATAATCACTGCACAAACCACACCATGAGCTTGCTGATGTGTGTTGCACGCAATCTGGACAGACAAGACAAGCTTGGTAACCGGCGCAACGAGGCTTGTAAAAAATGTGCCCTAGGTTGATAGCTGATCAGCATTGTTGTTGCAAAACTCAACATACCAGAAGAAAACTGAGGATGGGCATGATGAGTTTACTACAAGAGTATCTTTCACATGCTGAAGGGTCAAGTTTGGCAAGCTGCCATTTTCAACGGATGCTGAGGAGGCTCCCGGGCTAATTGCTAATCAAGTAGCCTATATTGTGGAGTACCAGTCCGAGTGGGCTGGACAGGGCCCCAATTGGGGCAGAAATGGGGCAATTTGACATTTTGTTGTTTTGGCGCAACTGGCGCTCCTTGGCCAAGCCTGGCTTGCAGCGCTACGTAGCGCTCCTATTAGGGATAACGCAGGCGTAGTGTGGGAGCAAAACCGCCAGGCTTGGTAGCTTTAGTGGTGGCGGGAAAACTTTTTTGGGCAAAAATCATAGCAAAAAGCATAGCTTTTTTCCGCCACGCTTCCCAGGATTACAAGCGGAAAAAAGTTTTTGATTCTCATTTTTTGAAGGCAATCAAAAGATAAAGCATTCAACACATCTTGCTTGTCATTACCCACTTGTCCAGCACTAGAGAAAAGACACTCAGCAGGATGATAAAGAAAGCAACAGAAAAGGAAAGCAATGACCCACTTGATCCTGCATACACCCTTACAGCTGTTGCTGCATCTTTGAAGGAGCATTTTTGGCTCAAAAGGTAGGTTTCCAATTTGACAAGCCCCTAGATTGAACCTCTTCAAGAGCGAGATTGGTATAGCCACATTCCTAAAAAACCAATATTTGAAAAGGTGAGTTTGAAGATAGTCATCAACCATTTCAATCACCAAAACATTTTTGTCTTGTATGGTTTCTGTTTGACAAAGTTTACCCAAGATAAAACTTTTCATATTGGCTAGATTGGTTCGGAATAAAATTTCACGAGTGAATAATAGCTCAAGGAATCAGATTCTAAGAAATCCTTTTGATTCAGCTGTATGTTTTCCTGATCAAAGACTGATATTTTACCAGGTTCACTACCACAGGCAAGCAAAGAGAAGGATAAAGGTATCAGTAATCTTGACTGGGAGTATACATAATGGCTGGATTCCAAGATCTAAGGGATACCAGAATAAAATCAAGGAAAGAAAACCTACACAAGATCATGATTTTTGATTTGGCTTGCAATTGGTTCACCTGAGTCTTACGAGCCAATCGCTTGTCTTGAACCTGACCGAATTCTTCATTTGGAACATTAGAACATGATTGTTGTCTCAATTGTTTGAGATCTTGAGCGAGTTGAGCTGGTTTTGACGTGAAAGATATCATCCCTCAAGTTTTCCGTGTCTTTAAGAACATTGTTTTTCAAACCCCTCAACTTAACAACCTTGCTAAATGGTTAATTGTTTGGTGAGTTAGATTTCTTGATGATTTGATTTTTTGATTTGGTTTCTGATTGTGGGTGGTTATGATTTGATGATAAGTTGGATATTGAGTTGGATGTTGGTAAGTTGGTAGTTTGAAATTGTTTGAGCTGACAGATGGCAATGTTGGACATTTGAGGGTGGCTGTTGTGGTAATGATGGTGGCTGATACAGTAGAGGAAAGCATAGCGGTAAAAATCCCACTCCCAAAATCCTAGCGCATAGCGTAACAGCCGGGGTTTTCAAGTCCTGGGTAACAAAGTGGAAACGCCCGGCACTACGCCACACCATGCTCCGTGCTTCTTTCTGCGCAGCGAGCCAGGCTTGCCTTGGCCACCGTACAAATCGGACAAAACATCAGAAATGCAAAAATCTTGATGAAACACCTCACACTCACACCCGATGGCACGGCGCCACAGCTTTGGGCGTGGCCATGGCCAGGGCCCAGGCCACACTGTTGCCGTGTGCTAATCCATGTTTCCCGGCATCTCTACACAGGAGGGGGTTTATTCCCCAAGGACTAGGAGATGACTATTTTGTCCTCTCCTAGGTCTTTCTTTTTCTAAGTACA